GCCTGGGAGTAGTTGGTTCAGCAGTGACAGCAGCCCAGGCAGGTGGGCGGCTCATTTGCTGGAAAGACACCTTGCCAGGGCTTTCTGTTTAGGTGACGTCACTACTGCTAGCGCCCAGCCTGCCTCATTCTGTTGTCCCTTTCCCTGTTGTCTCAGCCTGGGACTGGCTGCTACTATTGGCACCGAGCAGGTCTGAGGACGAGGAAGTGGGTCCTGGGAATTGTGTAGGTTTGCAGCCACTAGAGGGGCTGGTGTGGATACTGGAGGGTCTCCTCCCTGTCCCTGGGTGCTACTGTCTCGCTTGAGAATTACTGCATAGGGCAGACACTTCCCTCACTGTTTTCCTTTTTATGTGTCATTGTAATTGTTTAAAAGTTGATTTCCATTTAAAGGTTTGAAATTGAGCATGCATAATGACAAAGCTATTGTGAATGAATCATTAAGAACCCCAGCAGAGACTTTATGAAAAATTATTCTCTTGTATATCTGCTATTTGGTCAGTCCACAAGCAGTTCTCCACACACCACGTGCCTGGGGACCCTAAAGAAACTTGGGGTCATCAGCACAGCCCCGGGTAGAGAACCGCTCTTATGTCCTTGGACCTGTGCCACTCAGGGGATGGTTGTTATGCTGTTGTAGGAACTTGGTTACACAACATTTTCCTGTAGATGCTTTTTTCTTTTTTTTTTTTTTGTTAACTGCTTATTTTTTCCTTTGAATATATACTTTAATACATCTTTCCTTTAATTAAATTGAGTGCCCCTCTCCCCAGGAGTGTGAGCATTGGACTGTGGAGGAGTCAGGCAGTGTTGGATCTTTTGACCTCTCCTTTGATCCCTGCCACTTCTTTTTTTTATTTTTTATTTTTTTATTTTTGGTACCAGGGATCAAACTCGGGACCTTGCGCTTGCAAGGCAAGCAACGGAACCACTGAGCTAAATCCCTGGCCCTGATCCCTGCCACTTCTAACAGACACCTGGTGATGGTGACAGAAAGCCAGGGAGCATGCAGCTAGCAGTATTTTTCAGATTATTATTATTAATTAATTAATTAATTTTTTTAGACCGGGTTTCAGTGTGTAGTTCAGGCTGGTCCTGAATTCACTATGTGGCCCAGGCTGGCCTTGAACTCAAGGGGATCCTTCTGCTTCAGCCTCAGTGCTAAGATTACAGGGATGGGCCACCATGCCCTGTGTTTTTCAGATGTTTAATCTCAATAGGTAAAGAACCAAGGATCAGAGTGAGGATTATTTGCCAT